GGAATCTGGGTGCTTCACATTCCATTTTAAACGAACACATCTAATAAAGTGAGTCACTCAATGGAAGACTTAAAAATAGAAAACTTATAATCATCACCACTACAGGTTGCATAACTTGCCATTGGCACAGTAGCATTGTCTAATTCAATCTTTCTCATTCCTTCCAAAAGCTTCTCAGCTAAGTTTTGGATGATGACAGCTCCAGACCAATGTCCCTCCAGGCTGAGTTGAGAGTCTTGAACTGCCTCTGCTTCTCTAAACAGCCGAAGTCACTATCCTCAGCTGCCTCTAATTCAGCTTTTGATCCTTCTTGCAGGACTACTTAAAAGGTGGCCACTGTGACGGCACACAGAACAGCAGTAAGACAAGCCACAATTAGGTTTCTTACTGTGGGTAACTTAAGCATTTAAAGCTGTACTATTCTGAGAGCGTGTTACTGGCAGTTTGCAGGGTGTGTCAATGCAGGAAGTGGCCAAATAACAAGAAGGGGATGTAATCAGAAAATAATCCTATTAGCACCCCCCTTAACAAGATCATCTACCAGCTCTCTCTTGTTTGCTTTTTAAAAGACTGAAGTGGTTAACACTATGTTACATAGGATGTCAGACCATAAGCATCTTAAAAGCAAGTGATTAAAGCTTAAACCAACCAAAATTGAAGATGCTTCCCCTGCAGCACTCCTAACAGTCATCAAGCATCTCTTTCCTCAGTTGATATGGGTCTAATCTCCTGGGCTGCCCTGTGCTACTTGTTACCTAACCAGCAACAGCAGCAAACAAGAGAACAAAGCAGCACGCTTTGAAGGGCAACCAAAGCTTGTTATCTACCTCACCAGCAGAAGTCTGGGCCACTGACTCATGCACTCGTGATGCCTACATGTAACTACTGTAAGCCATATCTATAGTGAAGCCACACACCAAGAAAGAGACCCAGTGGGTACAAAACGTGGCTGACACATCATGGCGGAGTCCATCCTCCAGATCCTCTCCTAAAGCCTCCGATGGTTACTTCGGGTTCTTAAACACAAGTTATGGCACTTTAATTAAAGTAATTATCCAAGAACTACCTCACCAACCAAGCACAGAAACATAACCCACAATATCTAGACAGTTTACAGGGTTACGAGTCCCTTTCAGCCACAGACCACACCACAAATTTGTAAGTTCCTGTACACAGAACTTAAAACCCAAAAACCCCGCAGGCCACCCTGCACTAATAAGTGGAAGCAAAGCAACAGTTTACCATATGGGGAAAATCCTTCCCACACTCTAGTACAGGCAACTAGGTCAGCTATCATGCCCAAAAGTAGTTGCAGTGCTTGTCATGCACAAAAATAAAGGAAAAGCAAAGCACAGAATAGACATACTATCCTCATTCCTTCTCTTGGTCCCCACTGCTTCAAACTACTTAATTTGCTTTCTGTACTCAGTTACCAAGATTCTCCCACCCAGCATTAGATAATATCCCAGCTGCTTTAAGATGTATCCTACAAGGAACAAACTTTTTTGGCTTCTCTTTCCCCTATTGGTATTTTTAACCTGACCATTTCTTTTTCTTCTGTTTCATTGCCCTCCTACAAAAAAAATGCCTTATAGATGATGAGGGGAAAAGTCTGATTTGTAAATTCTTCTTGGGATTTCAGATAGTAATAATCTTGCCAGAGAAAGCAGCATGTTTCTGAGAATGAGGCAATACTTACAGACAGCGATGGCTGTAATCCCAAGCGCAGTACCTCAGAACTAACAGGAATACAAAGAAACACTGAGGTCACAAGTATTTTGAGCTTTCCCACCACACAAACATCATAATATATTTACCAAGTTTTATGATAAAAGTATTTAAATTCCCTCCTGTCCTACTGAAAGATTACTTCAAAATCTGCCATCCAAGGAGTGGGAAACCTAGTCTCCAGCCTGATTACTGACTAAATGTATGCAGGGTGATTTCCATATCTTTTTGTTCTTGTGCCAACATTGCCTTTAGCTTAAATAGTTCAAATAGTCATCCTTACTTTCTATATTAGTGGGGCTTAATATCAGCCATAAAACCCACCACACACATAATACAAACTTGCAAATACTATAAACCAATTACTGTAATTAGAAAGAAGTGTTCCTTTTAGATACAGTTAATTTATAGCTGTTCACCCTTTTCTTCTGGTATTCTTCATTCCCCTCATATTTAATGCAGATATTTGATTAGACAGTCTACCCATTCAGCTTGATCCTAATACTGAACTATATCCAGTTTTCTTCCCCCCACCCCTAATCAAACACTAAAAGAGAAAGGATTAGAAAATAAGGTGTTTTGCTTATTACAAGACTGGACATAGACCTGCATATACAAACAGGTACCTGTTCAAAAAATAACTACAAATTAGGTGATTACTTAGGTGTGTCAAGGAAGTAGCCTAGTTTTATAGAGTGGAATAAAGATTGAGACCTGATAGTACATGCAAATCTAATCCCAGAGGAGGGGCATGCATTCAATACCATTTTGAAATGAGAATCAACACTTGGTTTGAAAAACACTTTGCTAAGGAAAAAAAAAAAAAAAAAAAAGGCACAGCCCAAGACTCTGTAGCCAGCCAGCAGAGAAACAACAACCTGGGCTCCATCAGCATTATCAGAATATAACTCAGGGTGAGTTCATCTGGCATTTGGAAACCCCTTTGAGACAGAGCTACACGTTCACTTGGGAACCTGGCTCGAAGAAAGTTATTCAAGGATACAAAATGTTTCTAAAAGCAATACCATGATACTGTAGAAGAGTTTTGATTGCAAATGGTTTGTTCATTATATAATAAAAATTGTTTTCTAAAGTAATGCTTTTTGGAAGAAATGGGCTACATCTACATTAGCAAGAGCTGTGGCACAGCTGCAGTGGACCCCTAAAGCAAAACAGCTGTTTCTGAGGTCGCAGCCTCCGTGGTCTCTGTGTTCTGCATTGTTTACTCCCAGGTAGCTCCAGTCTGGACCCACAAATACCAATGAAGCAGCTGAAGCACAGGAGGCCTTCCTTCTTTAAAGGGTGATCTTCCCACTTTTGTCTGATCTGCTTCAGAACTTTTTTTCCAGCCTCTAATTTTTATTTTGTGTTCATTTCCCTTTTTACCCAGCACTCAGCTTTTCAGTGGCCTCCCATCCTCCCAAGAGCACCCAACAAGGAAGGGGACAGGCATGTGTCCAGCTATCCGTGGCCTCCCGGAGGCATAACTCTGCGGTCCTGCTCACACCGGTGACTTCACATCATGTGCAGGGGCACACCCACAATGATAAAGCTAATCCCCAGAAAAATGCAGGCTCAGACTACAACCGGAAGGCCAAGCCATATACAGGAGATTAACTGATTTATAGAACTAGACTATCAGACCTCCAGTTTAAATCAAGTGCAGCATAGGCCCATATATTTTAGAAAAGGCAAAGTAATTCTTTAAATCCTATTTGCCAGTGTGTAAACAAGCACTATAAGAGTAAGCTGTTGCTTCACAGAGCTACTTGCAAATGCAAACCCTTGTTTTGAAACCATCGAGATATTTACATGTGAAAGTAGAAAGTAACAATTGCAAACTAACTGTGGAAAAAGCACATTTCTTTTAAATATTTGCTAAAGCTTGTAGAGACTTGTGTGAAGACAAAGTAGGTAGCAGAACGGAACCTGTAGGAGCTTTCCTTTGGAAAACTGGTTTGCGTTAACGGCCTTTGAACCTACCACATCCATCCAGCTTTCCAAATTTCTATTAGTGACAGGTTACCAGGTAGAAATGGATCTCTAGAGAAAATATTACATTATATAATAAGGGCCCAGCTCACAAAGTTATTACTACTATGCTCCTGTGCATGCATACATGTGCACACACATAACTAAGCAAAACAAAGTGTCTATCCGTATGTATACAACCAAAGTAACACTATAAATTAGATATAAAGCGTGTGTATGATTTTTAATGCATGTGTGCGCCTACTCAAAACTTTCATCCGAAGTTAGACTAAATAAAATAGGTAAATGTCTAACATTAAATTTAATAATATTCTGCTTACTGCTGTTACAGAAGAGCCAATACCCGATTTTGCCTTAGCTATATCTCTAAATACCAGACTGAGTCTTTACTAGCTAATCGTCAGTCACTGCTCATCACTGAACATTTCTGAGGAACCATACCTACAAATAAGTGAGGAAAAGAAAAGGTCTGATTAACGTCAATTAAAAATACACCACACTCCTAACAGCTGAGTCTCCAAGCTTGCTTCTTATCCATGGTCAGAAGATTGTCTTACAAAGGGACTTCAGAGCCTTCAGGCCAACATCGCTGTAATTACACTCGAGCAAGCCTCTCATGCAGGGAAACTTTCTGGGTAGAAACCCCATTACAGAATGGTTCAAAGAGAGCTCAGTATGGAAGCAGACTGCAAACAAAATGAAAATAAGACATAAAGAGAAGTCTAGCCACTACCCGAGAACCACTAGAAGACAAATGCAAGGATCTGTAGTGGTAACAGATTCCCGCAGCCGCAGCACTCCAAGCCTTCAAGGGAATAGTCCTTGCCTGCCACTGTCCTGCAGGTAGCTGGAAACCAACTGCACCTGGCAAGGCTGGAGAGGTGCTCCTGCCACCGCACGTTCAATGCCTTTGCCCCTCGAGAAAGCCCAGCGCAGCTGCAGCCGGCATGGCTCTCTGACGCGAGTGCCTCTTAGGGCAATAAAGAGATACTAGGAAGGGTTGCAAGGAGCGGGGCAGAGAAGAAAAGTGCAACTACTTCAGAGCGGAGAAGGGAGAGCCCCCGCTTCCTAGCAGTGAGTGGAAAGGAGCTTGCTCTCAATGCACCTTTACTACCAGTTTACAGTAAACAGTAGAGTAAGTTCAGCAGGTAATAAATCTGTCTGTTTTAAACTCAAGGTCTACACACACACACATTTATATCTTTGCCTGTAGTAATGGGCTTACAAACGTTTACTGAAGCAACTGGTTAGAAGACAACTCAAAAAAGTTTAGGACTTACTTGTTACACCGATATGCTCTCACCCAGAAGTGCTCCCATGAATATGTTCAGTGCAAGTGAGAAGTAACTGTTTCCATTTTCCAAAAATCAGTGTAACTACAGCTAGGCTATTCTTTGCCCAGAATTCACATTTTTTTTAATAATAGGAGACACTATATTCTACAAGCTCTGCCTGAGAAAGAAAATCTAGTTAAAGAGTTCAGCAACCCCCCCTATTTGTTATATATAGATACCTACACATGTGCAAACAGCTATCCATAAACTGCGAGACAGCAGGGCGCTATCTCCATTTATGAGGACATTCTCGGGGCGCTCGGCCCCTGAGCGGGGTGACAACACGCGGACAAATGGGACAGCTGCCAAGGACTTTATACTACTTCCATAAAACAGCCACACACTCGATTTTCCGGTCATTCTTTCGATCTCAAAGCTTAAATAAAACGGGGCGGGGAAGGGGCTGGGAGCCCTTGGTAGCGTAAGGTCCTACCGTACTTTGCAAAAGTAAGATCTGGAGAAGAAGAGAGACAGTCAGTCACGATGCATTTGCTACCGACTGATAACAAAGGCAACTTCAGGGCTTAACCCGAGGTTTACCGCAGGCGTCTCCAGCCCAGAGCACACACCGAATCCCCCTCTCCTGACCAGAGCAGAGCACGCTGCCGGCTCTCCCAGCCAGCACCCACAGCCCCCAAGTCACCCCCGGGGCGAAGCCCTGGAAACCTGGCCAGCTCCCCTCCGCTATTAACCGCTCCCCACCCCCCCACCCCCCAAAAAAAAACCCCAAAAAAACCGAAAGCCGCTTACTCCAGGAGCCCGGGCCACCCCGCGTCCCTCTCCTCGCTGCTCGCCGGCCGGCGGGAGGAGAAGCAAGGGGGGGAGCAGCCGGCTCCCTGCCCGCCTCCTCCGGCCGCGGCACGCCTCGCTTCGCCTCCAGCGGCTTCCCCAGCCAGCCAACACCCTCCTCCGCCTCCCCGCTCCGCCTTAACCACCGGCGGCGCCCCCCCGCCCCGGCCCCCCGCCTCACCCCGCCGGCAGGCCGCGGCCGGGCCTAACGGCAGGCCGGCGCTTCTCCTCAGGAAGGGAAGCGCGCGCTAGGCCCCGCCGCTGAGGGGCCTGTTCCCGCCTTCCCGCTGCCGGCGCTGAGGAGAGCGGCGGGCCCTCCTCACCCCGGGCTGAGTTAGGGGGGCCGCGGGCCATCCCGCCCCCTCCTCCGGCGGGGCCAGCGCAGGCTCCTTCGGACACGGACGCTGCCGGTTGTCTGGGGGTTGTTTGCCCGCGCCTTTGAGCCGGCAACTGGCGTTTGTTTGAATTGGTCGCCCTCGTTTCCGAGGAGTTCTGGCGGCGGTTCGCTTTCGGGTCACAGAGAGGTGCCTTCTTTACAAAGAAATGGGGGACGGATCCGTTACGCTATCTGAATATATATTAATGTACGCTGTGTTAATGCCCGTTTACCTGGCGCCAGGTCCTTCCCTGCTCGCCTAGCGGGTTAAAGGGCAGTGCAGCGGAGAGCCACGTCTCGATCTGTAGTAGAGCCATAAGATTCATAACCTGGATGATTCACAGAGGAAATCCTAGACCAGAACAATGCTAAATCTCTGATGACCCACCTTGGAAAAAAATAACGTGGTGCATAATGGCTGTATAGAAATTCACCTCTCTCTTTCAGTTGTCCTCTCCAGTGGCTCCAATATGGCATGAAGCTGGTTGAGAAATGACATCTCAATGGCTGCATAAATCTGCCAGCTCTCTTACTTCAACTGAAATGTCTCGGGAAACCCCACCGAGCTCCCAATTTCTACCAGACTTGGCAGAAGCACAATTTAGCAGTTAATCCAGGTCTTCATAGAAGCCAGACTTTCCACCTGCCGGCAGGCTGCACGACTACTCCTCTGGGGCCCCCCAGCTAATGGAGCCCACCACAGGGTGACACTCGTGCTGCCACGGAGAAGAAACTTGCAGCACAAGTGCTGGGACTTCAGTTTTGCAGCGCAGGGTACGCAGGCTTATTTTTCTCTATTTCTGTATTTCTGAATTGAAAGCTTTCCAATTCTTTACCTCTCCAAAATAGCAGGTTTCCAATCTTGAACTTCCCTAGGCACTTGCTGTGTAAGGCTTACAAGCGAGTGGCTGACTGGGCAATACCTTGAGACATTTTGTGTATCCTCCTTCTTCTTACTGCTTTCTGTTCTGTGATACCAAGTGACAAGACTTGGAAGAGCTGCTGCTAAGAGTTATGGCCTCTAATGCTCCTCTTTGTTTCTCATCCTGGTTCCCACGCTCCAGGCTCCTAGGGACACATCTGACAAACACAGCTATGTTTTTTTAGGGAATCATCTGGAGATTCCTGCCTGTTGCTTCTTTTGCAATGAGAAAGCCAGACACACATCAGTAATAAGCCAGGATCTTCCTCCCCCTCCAAAACTCACTGCTGAACTTTTGGCTGTGCTTTTCCCTGCAAATTTACATTTTTAGTCCACTTCAGTTGTGGTTCCACAAGTGTTTGGGATCTCCTTTTCCCTGCTGGACCAAAACACAAGCTGATCTTGTGACTATTTATACCCATAAGCCTGTCAGAAGTCTGTCTTTGCCCATACGCTGCCTGCATCAGTTGTCTGATGCAGTTGGTGTCACGCATGCAGGAGCCCTACACAGCCCATGCACTGTACTGGCTGTGGTTCCCTGCTTTCCAGGCATACAGGGATCAGCTGTGTCTCTAACCGTGCTTCTTGGCTGTCTCCCAGAAACTGTTTTTATTGCTGTTCTTCCGTGCTCACTGCTTAGTCAACATGCTTTACAGGCAGCATGAGACATGTTTTCTATCAGGCACAGAAAAACAACCTGCTGCTGCCATGAAGGATGGGGCACATCTCCCTCCCACAGTGTCCTTCAGGCATGCTCCAGTCCCCCATCAGCCAGCTAAACGTCAGCAACAGGTCCCATCTGAGGAGGCCGTAGGAACCTAATCCTTCCCTCTTGGGTCAGATATAACCAGATGAGCTAAATTGGAAGCTGCAATAATAATGTATGGCTATCAACTCTCCAGGTGGCATTTAAAGTTGGTAAACAACTGCAAGGGTTGGATTTCAGAAGTTTTGCAAAGTAAGTGATATTCAGGCCACCAATGCTAGAAGCAGTTTTTATCCCAGACACATTAGGAGACATGGTAGTGCTCTTAAAAGGAAATTAAGATCTCAGGTGGCAGCTGGAATTAGTACATTCCATAGATATTCAGGCTTAGAATCCATGGGAATACCTCAGCTGAACAGAAAGAATGGAAAATTAAAGGAAAACACCCCAGAAGTGGATTCATTGCTTTTTGGGGCTATGGTTTGGGGGGCTTTTTTGGCGAGTGTGAGAAAGGAAGAAGAATAATTGGGCTAGGGAAAAAAAGGATTTAAATGCAATTTGTGGTGAATACTTTCAGCATGATCCGACACACACAAGTTGTAAATGTGAATACCTGCCCTATATATGTGTACTAACATGGCATTAAATGTTGCCATTTCGTCTGTCTCTTTACAAATATTCAAAACATCATCATAAATTTGTTAGAACTGGGAAAATATCCTGTCCTCCCACCCACACCTCAAGGTTGTTGCCTACCCAGATGTGGCACTGTTGTCAGTATCAATTTATGATAATTTTTGATTGCTTCAAAACAAGGCAGTGTCTGAGGGTAAAATGTGTCTACGTCCAGTTTCCAAGCAAACATGTTCTGCACCCCAGCACTTCTGTGTTTCATGAACTATTCCAAACCAGCAAAGTCTTAAAGAGGGTAGAAAATGAGAGCACCATACTACTCTTCTCATAAAAGGGAAATCCAAGAATGAGTGAAAACTTTTATAAGAATCACATTTACCTAGCAATCTCCCTTTCCAGGAGAGGTTCTCCACACATTTGCAGTACAGCTACCAACAAACGAGGGATGAGCTGTTCTTTCCTCCCTTGTTAGGGTTTCTTTTCAACTACAGCTGTCTCTTTATCTTAGTTATTTTTCAACTGTGTTTTTATCTTAGTTACTGGTTGGTAAAGATTGGTCTTCATAAGTTTGAATAGTGAAAGATTTTTACAAGGTTAAACAAAAAAATTAGATGCCTTAAAGTATCACAAAATTCATCCCTCTTGAGTCTGTTTTTTATTTAATGTCTAGATGAAAATATTACCTCCTAAGTCTCCGTGCGTGTGGCTTGGTCCCTGGGACACCTGCCAAGACAAGAATTTTAGATGCCCGAAATCATGTGCTCAGCAGGTGTAAATTGTGTTCAGGGAGAGTTCACCTTTTGTCCTTAACCCCAGAGGCAGTTTCTCTTCATTAGCAAGGGAAGATGGAGAAAAAGATTATCATCATTTCCTGACTGCATGCCAAAGTTATGTATCATAAGAAGAAAATCTGTTCATACGTTCACAAATATGTTTTCTCCTAATCTGTCTCCAGGAAAATGTCTTTATGAGGAGCAAGGGGTAATAATAATCGCAGAAGAGTTGAAGTGACAGAAGCAGAAGCAGAATATCTCTACCGAGATTCTTTCAAGCAGGATCCATGGTAGGTCCTCCCATTGGAAAATAAAAGTACTTAGTCATGGCTATGATTAAACATTTAAAATTGTTCCCATCTCTGGCTGCTGGTATCAGGTATCACTTGGAAATACAACTGTATTACTTCATATCAGATACTCAGTTTACCAACTGAACCAGTCTGTATTGCTAGTGTTTAGACATTTTCCCCCTACACTGCAACAGATAAAAACATCCACTCGTGTGTGTGTGTGTCTGAAAAGAGAAAGTGGCTCATTTTTCTATTAAAACTAAAGTAATGTGTTATCCTCATAATTATGTCTTATTGTTTGCTGTTATACAAAGATAACACATCAGGGCCGAGTCACAGAAACAAATGCAAAATTGCAGTTTTAAAAGAATAAGATCACAGGTCACGTTATTTGTTGCAGAACAAACACAATAATTGGCCTTTCCCTGCAATGGTAGCACAGGCAGCTTAACTATGGGAGAGCTAGGCAATGGAAAGCAGCAATGTGGAGTATCCGTATTTCTCTGTGGCAAACAGCTGAGCTAGGTCTAATAGAGACCATGCATTTTATTGGTAGAGAGGGAGAAAAGAAAGACAGTATATTTTAGAAAGCAAGAGTGCTTGGATTATCTAAGTGTATTTATTTTCTGTTGTTTAAAGATTTTTGTTGTGGCAGGAAATATGAAAAAAAATCTTCTAAATTTGTTTTCTCTTTACGTGTGCCAGAGAGAGAGAGATTACATTCAGAAAATAAAATGGAAAAGGCTTTTTGGAATTTGAGCTATATTATTTTTTTCTCTCAGACAACGACAGACCAAAATCAGCCCCAGTGATTATACACATCTGCTTTTTTTCCAGATATTTTCTCCATTTGTTTGATTAGGGAAAAATCTTAGAAAACCTGTTCAAAGACATATACAATCACTTTGAAAGCCCTAGCCTAACATTCCAGTACACAGTGAAGAAATACAGGGTTTGACTCTCTTGTTCTCTTCCAGTGTCCATTTCACTAGCATTGCTTGCCTGATTGCTTTCATTTGTGACCATCTGAATAGTCTGGGACAAACATTTTTGGGGTGTCCACAGGTTTATAAGGAACTTATGCAGATCGCTAGCTACATCATCAATAGTCGTGTTGGGAAAAGTTATTTTAAATAACCAGATATATCATTGTCAATTTGCGTTTGGTGACCTTTTGTAATCCAGAACTGTTCAGTTGAAAACAAAGGGATATAGGAAAATCCGTAAGTTTCCACTTCACTGATATCTGAAACAAATCTACATTACTGGATGTAAATGACTTCCCTCCATTTCCAAAGCCTGTGGATCGGATATCACGCCCCAGCTTCCTCTTAGCACTACTTTTGACCACGCCAGCCATCCTGTAGCTTCCC